GGGGGGGGATGTACCACAAACATATTAAGCAGTTTTCAACAGTGATGATAATAATAATAATAATAATAAATATTTCTTGAGCAGGAAATCAGCATATCAGAATGATTTCTGAAGGATCATGTGACACTGAAGACTGGAGTAATGGTTGCAGAAAATTCAGCCTTGCCATCACAGGAATAAATTACATTTTAAAATATATTCAAATAGAAAACAGTTATTATACATTGTAATAATATTTCTCAATATTACTGTTTTTACTAGATTTTTTTCTCAAATAAATGCAGTCTTGGTGAGCATTAGAGATTTCTTACCAACCCCAAAATTATGAATGGTAGTGCAATATAATATAACATCAACAAGACAAAATATATACCACAGCAAACTAAAGGCTATTAATTTACAGATCAGTCATTGCAGGACATTAATGAGGGTCAACCACATATGACTGCCACACTGAGAGAAAAAAACACTCCTGTGTTTGCTTACACACTCGAATCGATTCTCTAATAACAGTTAAGAATCCCTCAGGGGAACTTCCTTCACGACATAATCAATAACGCTACAAGATCCACAGCCACGGGCTGATTAACCACCCGCTAATTAGTGACCATCACACTCCTCAATTTCTCCCAGCTCCAATCAGAACACCCGGGGAGGGCCTGTCAATCAAACACAGGGTCTAGAGTCATGGCTTCTACGGTCTTTCTTTTCACATCTAATATTTTTAATCAGTAATGCATAACAGTTAACAATTTTACATCATATTCTCTGAAAAGACTACATGTATTAAAGCTTAAAGTGATCAGACAGCATGATTAAGAACCAGGCTCGAGTTAATCTCTGGTGACAGGATCTGTTGCATGAAAATTAGTTTAACTTGTCCCTAAGGTTGTAAAAATTAGAAAAAATTGTGTCTTTACATAAATTTCCTTTCCATGTAAATAGACTCTGAGGCCTCTGACAGCGAAAGCGAGTGGAAAAAGAGAGAAGGAGATGCGGGTAAAGGTCAACTGGACTTTAAGAGAAGAGTAAGTAATCGTCTATCATCTTAAACCAGCCTTTTAGATCTAGATGAACCCAGTCAAGAACAGCAGCCGGTCAGACAGAAAGCCAATCTGCCAGCATTCTCATGCAAACACCCTCCCTGCATCCACTCAACAACACACTTTCATATTTCACTCAGATGAGAGGAGAGAGAGAAAGAGAGCTGTAAGAAAGGCAGACAGTCTTAAAGAGGAAAACCAGCAAGTTAGAGAGAGAGAGAAGGGTGCGAGAGATCAAAAACGAGTCTAAAACAGGCGTATCACACGAGTAGTTAGACCCGATAAGATTCGTACTCTCAGATTGCTGATGGCGATCAGTGTATGGGGGTCAGTTTTTGGCCACTCAAGCGTTTCAGATGGGGCTGGGATAAGTGTCCAAATTAGCTTTTAGTGGCCCTGAACAGACAACGGCAGAAACCCAATCTGTGGGAAGCAAGGCCTGAATGCACGACTGTGTCGAATGAACAAGCCCCCTGCGTGTGAAACATTACATTCCTCCCCATTCACTAACACTAGGGCTGTGTATCACCAGCAAAGTCAGGATACGATACAGAGGCCACGATACGATACGTATCACGATACATGACTGCACTGAGTTTATTAAACACTGCTTACTACAGTGCCATTTCTAACTACTGGCAGAGCAGGCAGTTGACCTCTGCATTATGAAGGGCCTCCATAACTGTACCACAGTACAATATAGGTAATGGCATATGTTTCATGTTTACATTGTGCACTCCCCACCAGGTACAATATTCTGATTGTTTGCATCTGGTTTTTAAGCCCATAAATAATAATGTACTCGTTCTAATAAATTTATATTGTAATGTACTTTCTAATATATTAAAAAAATCATTTACATTGCTGGTAGGTTATCATTGCACAAATTAACACACTCTCTACAATAAAAATTTTTTTTTGAAGAGTTTCTAAACTAACGCGCTGTCTTCACTGTATCTAACACAAGGCTGATTTATACTCGACGTGTCCGCAAGTTCGCTTTGAGTGCGCGCGACGTCGTTTTTTTGTAACTTTCCGCTCAGCTCTGCTTCCGAAGATGCACGAGTTCAATGCGACTCTAGCCGAACATGCACGTCTGTGCCAGCATTTGTGTGAAACAGAAGCAGTTTGGCGCGGTCCCTCACACAGATCACGTTGCGGCCGCACTCAAGACTAAAGAAATAAACCTTTTAGCGCTGCCCCACAGTTTTATCAACTAAATAGCTTAATCGCTTAAAAGAGCTACATTTATCTTTTTCAACAAGGAGCTGGTAACATCATTGTTTCTAAAGGGGTTAAAGCCACTTCACTGTTAATAGAGAAATGCGGCAAACGGTGGTAATTCATACATACACCGCCCCTGTCTCTCTCTCTATGGGCTTACATTTCTGCCACAATTCTGCGCGCGAAAGATCATATTTTGAGAGCACAAAAGTGAATTTTGCACACGCACGATGTTCGTTTCGCAAAGAAAAAAGTCTTTCGAGCGCACGGAAATCAATTTTGCATTTAAAATACGTTTTTGGATGTGTGCAGACCTTCTCTTTTGCGCGTGCAACGTTTCACTAGCTTGCTCACCTGATGCCCCCCTCAGTGCTCGCTAAATGCCAACAGCTCGCGTGCTCAACACAACCCAGCGTTACAATGT